GGTCACACAGGGGGTCATTTACTACTCAACAACAAATAATCAGACCCTTCACTTCCCTTCCCGTCTCACAGAGAGGCTCTGAGTAACGGTGCTTAATCACAGAGCTCAGAGCGGGACTTATCATTAATCTCTCATCAGCGTCAGCGTCACCGGCGCCCCTTCCCACAATCCCCCAGGCTCACTGCCTGCTCGTTCAGCACAGTTAGCCTGTTAGCATTAGCACACCCCAGAGATGTTCACTGTGATTCTGATGGCTGTGTGTCTGTGTGGGTCACAGGGGTGAACGTGTGCATATCAGGGCTACGCTAAGCTAAGGCCACCGCCAGGCCGCTGTCACAGTTTTAGTGTGATACTCAGGATCCCAGGTCTTTTCTCAAACAAACAGGCGTGTAAGAAATGATACGGTTCAATAACGATCAGAATTACGCTCTAACTGTTGACCCCAACTCTGAGGGGCCAAGCATTTCAATCTCAGACAAAATCACAGAGGAAAACTCCTCCAACATCACTGTGATATATGTGCTAACTTATGGCTGGTGTGTTAGCTCAGGGCTAACATATTAACTGGTGTAAAGTATATTAGACTGTACATTACGTTATGGCTAGTCTGTTAGCTTGGGACTAAACTATGAACTGGTGGCTTGTGTGTTAGACTGTGGCGAGTGTGTTAGCAGTGGGCTAACATATAATCTCATAGCTGGAGTGTAAGACTGCTTAGCATATTAATAGGTGTCCAGCATGTAGGACCATGGCTAGTGTGCTAATTTATGGCCAGCATGTTAGCTCTGGATATGATAAAGCAGAGTTTTTGTTCAGTGTTTCTGTGGTGCTAATAAAACAGCCTGAATGTATCAGGCTAAACTCCACTGAGCCAGTCTAAAGATCTAACGTTGTGCTTTCATGATGTTGAATGAAAATGAAAACTTCACCATAGTAACATTAATATATTACCATAAGGAACATTTCCAACAAGCCCTTATTTAGCTGTTTGTGTGTTCGTGTGTGTGTGTGTGTGTGTGTGTGTGTGTGTGTGTGTGTGTGTTTGTGTGTGTGTGTGTGTGTGTGTGTTCGTGTGTGTGTGTGTTCGTGTGTGTGTGTGTGTGTTCGTGTGTGTGTGTGTGTGTGTGTGTGTGTGTGTGTGTGTGTGTGTTTGTGTGTGTGTGTGTGTGTGTGTGTTCGTGTGTGTGTGTTGTGTGTGTGTGTGTGTGTGTGTTTGTGTGTGTGTGTGTGTGTTCGTGTGTGTGTGTGTGTTCGTGTGTGTGTGTGTGTGGTATTTGATCAGTGTGTGTGACGGCAGACAGTCTAGTGTGAAGTGCAGCTCCACGCACTCTAAATATACACCAGAGAGAGAGAGAGAGGGGGAGAGAGGAGAGAGAGAGAGAGAGAGATAACAATACTGTCATAACTGGGCCCTGACAGTCAATCTGGGCAACACTAAAACTGTAATCTTACAGAAAAAGGCCAGATTTCAGGAAAATAGACACCTTTTAACTCTAGGAAACCTCCACACTAGAACATTAGCTACACTGTGATTAGCTAGAACTGAAACTCAGAGCCTCAGGAAACTCTGATCTGGGAGTGAATGCACCAAAGGAAAAAGCATGAAGAGCCCGATCCAGATTTGGTGTAAAACCTGTGATAGTGATACTGCGCTTTATGGGGTCCACTGCACTGAACTAAACCCAGTCAGCTGGTCCTGAGAGTAACCCATTGACCTGAACCCAGTCCCCTCTGTCAGCTGGACCTGAGACTAACCCACTGACCTGAACCCAGTCCCCTCTGTCAGCTGGTCCTGAGACTAACCCACTGACCTGAACCCAGTCCCCTCTGTCAGCTGGACCTGAGACTAACCCGTTGACCTGAACCCAGTCCCCTCTGTCAGCTGGACCTGAGACTAACCCACTGACCTGAACCCAGTCCCCTCTGTCAGCTGGACCTGAGACTAACCCACTGACCTGAACCCTTTCCCCTCTGTCAGCTGGTCCTGAGACTAACCCACTGACCTGAACCCAGTCCCCTCTGTGAGCTGGTCCTGAGACTAACCCATTGACCTGAACCCAGTCCCCTCTGTGAGCTGGTCCTGAGACTAACCCATTGGCCTGAACCCAGTTCCCTCTGTCAGCTGGTCCTGAAACTAACTAACCCAGTGACCTAAACCCAGAGACAGAGAGAGACAGAGAAAGATAGATATATAGAGAAAGAGAAAAAAACGGACTGTTTGAGTAAAAGAGGAAGAAGAAGAGAGAAAAGAGAACCGAGCTACACCCTGCTGTAGAGAGGAGAGAACTAATTAAACATCACAGACAGAACAGAACTCAGAATAGAACGTCTGACCGAAATATAAAGCCCTGAAGCTCCGCCCACACAGAAATAAAGTGCCTGATACTGTTTACACACAACACTGTGATAGTATATATAGTGTGTTATAGAATGTATGATTATAGTAACCTGTTCCATTTAGTCAGCTGTGGCGGCCCAGCTACTGCATCTTAGTTAGCTGAGCTAGCCTGGTTAGCCTATAGTAGCCTTCTAGCAGATAGTGCTGAGAAATGTAGGCTCATAAACATTTTCGATGGTGAATTGGAGGAGTAATTATCTATTTAGATATACATTTATATATTTAAATTTTGTAAAGATGTGTAACTGAATTTAAAAAATATGATGAAGTGTGGATGTTATGTAATTTTACCTGCAGATAGTAATATATTAGGACTTAATTCTAAATATGTAATCATAAAAATGTTACTGACTCTTCACTCTTGATATTCTACAGTCGTTTTAGACTCTTCTACAGTTCTGCTCATCATTCAGAACTCATCTAACATTTTCTTACTACTATTTACATATTCATAATAAATGGTTGACACCTTAGTTTGTATAGTAGTAGCATTATAACTGAATGCAATCAGAGCAGTTTATATTAATGACATCATTGATTCCAAAGTTATGAATTACTGAGAGTTCCTAGAGTGAGTGTCTGTACTTCGTACAGTGTCTATGAAGATCTACGTTCAAGGATATTTTCTCACTTTTTAGGAAGCTGATAATCTCCAGGGCTGGAGTTCCTGAAGTATCTTAGCCCAAAGATGGTTCTTCAATGGTGGAGTGAGCATCACACTGAGCACTCTCTCTCTCCTCCAGTTAAGATGATATGAATGCTGTAGTGAATTCTGGGAAACTGGGCCCTCGTTTGTTTCAGAAAATAGTCCAACTCCTCCGCATAAACTGAGGATTTAAAAATGACCATTTTCTCTGCACGATATCTGAAACATGTTTTGTTTTCTGCAGGACGCTGTGTTGATGTTGAAATGTGAACACCCCTATGAGTATGAGCGAACACCTGGGCAGTGGGCGGAGACTAAAGTTAACGGAGAGGAACTTTTCGCACTGCAGCTTCTGACTGTGTGTGTGTGGACGATGTCTGCACATGTTGAACAGACGCTGTAACACACACACACACACACACGCTTAGACCACACACACCTGCCCTTTCACACACACACAGCTGGGTGTGGTTTGAGAGAAAGCGCCTGCGGGAGAAACAGTAGAGCACTGAAAAACCTCTCAAGAACATTCAGTACACCAAGACTACCAGAGCTGGACCTTTAGCTCAGGATATAAACCTCAAAACTCCATCAAAAAAGCCCAGCCCTACAACAACTCCTATGGGACTCATAATACTATGTTAGCAACATTTATTAGCCGTTCTTGATTGAACACAGTCACCTGAAGCTTCTAACTGACATTCAGATGTATTTGAGCTCGTATGTTATCAGTTCTACAGTGACTCAGTGAAGAGTCCTGCCGCAAATTTCACACATGAATTACACGGGTTATTTTTACACACTTCACATCTGACCTATACGTGACTTCTCTGTGAGGGCCTCATCTCGTCAGCCCCCGTACCTGCTGTCAGATCAGTGCTACCTCTGTGTCGATCACACTCTAAAAGGAGAAGATCCTCAGCTTTCTGCCTGCAGGTGTTAAATAATACCTCCCTGGCTAAGCTAGTGTCCTAAAACACAGCTGATCGACAGTTACAGCGCCAGTGCTGCTCAGCAACAAAGGGCCACAGCGTGAAGCCCTCAGTAAGACAAGGCAGCGCAGTGCACCTCACGTTTTTCAACCTTCGGAAAAACACCTTAGAAAATTAAGATTTAAAACTTTAGTGTTTGATGGATCAGAACGTCTGGAGGCGTAGAGGAGAGATCCGGAACCGAAAGCTGTTCTTTAAACTAGCTCACAAGTATTCAACAACTTTTTTGAGGATACAAAATTCCTGTTATTTTTTACTGTATTTATGTTTGTTTGCTTTTATTCTAACACAGTTTACCGAAGATAATGGGAAGAGATAATTTAAACAATGTGTCCAGGTGGCTTAGACTTTCGCAATTTGCTAATATTTATACACACACACAGTTATATTATATACTACAGAATATATATATATGTTTTACGTTATGTGTATACATATATGTGTGTGTGTATGTGTGTGTGTGTGTGTGTGTGTGTTGCTGCTGTTGGAACAAAACCTCGTATCTCCAAAATGGTAACTTTACAGGAGAAGGAAAAAACATACTTTACTTTTAATGTAAGTCAATGGAACCAGACTTTTTTCCAAGCAATTTTGGGCCGTTTCTTTTGGTCCATTCATCTTCAAATTGTCAAGCAATGCAAAGAGCAACAGGCATTTTCAGATTATGCCAAACCCTAAAAAATGTCCAAAATGGAGATACAAGGTTTTGTTCTGACAGCAGCGACATACAGAGTATATAATATAGTAGAGATAACAGGATACAGGTATCGACTCATACTGATCCGATATTTCCTCTTTAAAAACTACAGATCTGAGAATTTGATTCATTCTTCTTTCTCTCCCACATCCCATTCAGCACTCTCTAATGATAACAGCCCCGTATTGATACCTGAGAGCAGATCAGATCTCCAATAAATACAGAACAGGAAAAAACAGAACGGACAAATAAAGCAGCGCATCTGACCTCTCATCGCTGACCAGCTCGAAGGCCCCCCCAACTCCGAACATGGACTGAGCCAGGGCCAGAGCTGAGGGGGTCTGGATCGGAGTGAGGGTCGGGTGGAACGGTCCGTCTCGAGCAGTGTGGGGGCCGGGGGACGCCGGCTGGGAGCGAGTCGCTCTGAACTGGGAGGAGAAACAAACACACTTCAGTAACCTGACTGTGGATGAACTGGAGCTCATGATTACTCAGTTAAACTCAAAGACAATAATCAGTTAAACTTCACCTCTTAATGAAGGAGCAGCGATCAGTGGTGAGTCTACATGGTAAAGTAGTTCTATATGTTAAATTCTCCTACTGCTCACTATTACAGTTATAACCTGGGCCTTTTCACCACAGGGTTTCATATATTTACTAATGACGTCTTTTTAAAGGCTTCCCAGTATATTTTTCCAGTACGGTGTTCCAGAATATTAGAGGCTCCGGAAGGCTTTGTTTATCATTTTTAAAGTCCATTTTAACTCTAATTACTCGATTACTAATATACTGTATAGTAACAGATACAGTATGTACCCTTTCTGTCAAAAGTTTGGGGACACCTACCTTTCCCAAAATTACCATGTTTGCTTTGTCAGTTTTGCAATATCTCTCCACAATAAAGCAGGTTTATTTACAGCATCACAAATATTCACAAATATAAGTGGCAATATTAGTGACGATGCTACATTGGTAATAGAGCTGAAGGCCACACCCACTCCTTCTCATTGTTGTGATGTCAGCACTCAGAACTTTCAGATATTTAAACAGCTTTGGACCAAAAGAGTTTCAATGGGAGCTTTTAACAAGAAAACTGTCATTATTCACTATTTATGAACCTCTTCATACCAAGAAGACACTCTGATGACCATAAGGCTGAGTGTAGAAGATAAACAGACACAAAGTATCAGCAAAGAGCTGTTTAATAATAATAATAATAAACTAAAACTTTTACAGGAGTTTTTATTTCTTCACTGAAAATTTGAAAACTCAAAATAAAACATACTACTCTACATACTACATACTAACTCCTGACAGGCAGAGTCTCTATATGTACAGTGGACTGATAGCAAAACTAATCTTACTGAACATTAAAATAGTGATATGAAGACAAAGACACAGGTATTAGCTGCCATTTCATGACTGTATCAGCACTTTTTCTGGTGCATGTAGCTCAGTCAAGAACAATAAAGTGATATTTCAACCCAAAATGGACTCCATCCCCACAAGTTGATCAGCCAAGTCATGTTTAGGGTCTGAGATCTGCTTCTTTAGCTGTAGCACTGGAGCTACGACGCTAATGTAGCTAACAAGAAATGGAATCTTGTAAACCACCGATTAGCATGGTGCTAACCGTCTAAACCCACAATCACACTACACATTAGCAGTTTTGTGCCACTTTGCGAGATGAGCACGACTGAGGTTGGTCCAGAAGATTGATGATGGAGAACATCCGTGTTGGTGCAGTTAGGAAACCACCCACCTCACTAAAAACACTGAAAATAAACTGTGGTGACAAAAGAGTGAACAAAGCTATATGAGATAATTATATATTCATGAAAGTACAGTGCTGCACACTGATTTGGTTGTAGGAGTGCGGTAGCTTAACAGCTGTGGTTAGCCAACAAGCTAACACTGCAGTTAGCAAGCTGGCTAAAATCCCTGCTGAAAAAAACAGCATAGACATGCAAACATGAGTTCCATGCTGGTCTAAACTGGTCTGTACTGGTTTAGGCAGGTCTGGTGCTGGTTTAGCTGATCACCCAGCATTGGTTGACCAGCATAGCATCTAAAAAGACAACATATGCTGGTTTTGTGACCAGCTACACTAATCTATGCTGGTTTTTCTAGAATGTTTCTAAAACAAAAAGTAAAACCACAATAATGAGCATAATTCAATCATAATATTATAGCCGCCACAGCGCTGCACTGCACACTGATCTGTAGTGATAAAGTGTAGATAACGGATGTGGTTGGCAGCTGTAGGTTGGTTAGCCAAAAAGCTAACACTGCAGTTAGCAAGCTGGCTATCTTGTCTAAAATCTTGCGTATCACAGTCTCTCTTTATTTACTGTCAGTGGGCAAGAAATGTTTAGGGTACTGTGACTAAATTAGGGCTTCCTCTGGTTTGGAGCTTCAGTGCTGCTATCTGAAGGCCCAAATTCACGTGTTGAAGTTCACCAGAGTGGAACGTGAGATTTTGTGCACACCTTGGATGTCTGCGGCGTGATATTGCTCATCGCTCGCGAACAATGTGACTAGGCCTAAACTGTCACATACTCACCTCAGGTGTATGAATGTGTTCAGTATCTCTAATAGAATTGATTTTATGGTTTCTGACACTGTATGACTCACTGTTATGTACAGACATGGACTAGAGTTTTACTGAAGCTCGTAACTCTGAATTTCCCACCCTCGACTAGGGAAAATGAAATAAAACACCCTCTCAACTTGGAATTGCTATACATGTTGCTATATGTTTATAATTTACTGCTGAGAGCCAAAAATCTTAGACGCTCTTTGTATTATTTTATAATAATAATGTTTACAAAGCAGATCACTGAAGAGACGCCATCTGTTTATAGTTTATAGCCCAGATTTGTGAAAAATGGGTCGACTTTCAGTAGAAAAACAAATTGTGAGTTCAGCTTCTTTTATTATAAGGGTTTAAAATTACATCACCCATCTATTTGACTGGAAAGAAGACAGTTACAGCTCTCATACGACCCCCACCTTTAGAATGTAGCTTATGAAATATTAAAGTTATGAAGTAAAAAATATGATGAAGTGCGTTTTGGAACCACCGGTGGTCTCAAGGAGTTAAAGAGGTTAAAGAACCTCTTCTGTAGTTTTAAATGAGATTAGCTTTAGATCAGTCAGCCTACAGACACAGTAGAAGGTTAAATTATAACTCTGACCATAAAATCCATTGTTTTGAGAACATAAATGCATCACAAATCACAAGTTACCCCTCATCTTTTACCGTTAGCTGTCCAGCTTGTTGCTAATGTACAACACTTCTTTTCATGGAGGCGCCCAAGTTTTTTCTCTCTACTATGTTTCACACCTGGGCAATATGAAATATTTATCGTTATCGTGATGAACTGTGTCAAAGTAAGTCACGCTACGCTTTTCTGAGAATATCGTTCAGTTTCTCTAATTTGCTTCTTTAGTTTTAGGACTGGAGCTACGAGACTAATGTAGCTCAGAAGAAATGGAAGCTTATAAACCACCAATAGGCACGGCGCTGACTGCATGTCTAAACCCTCAATCACGCTACGCGTTAGCAGTTTGTGCCAATTTACGAAAAAAAATACCGACAACAGAGCATAATTAGCCCTGGAATTAGCATCGTGTGTGAAATGTGGAATACAAATCATTGCATTCATAGCTGCTCACGGCAGTTTTGAAGGTGGCACTGCTTCACCTGTTTTGACTGTTCAGAAATAATAAATATCGCAACATGTTGTGTATCGTGAAAATGCATTTTTGCCACATCACCCAGCCTTACTTTCTGTAGTGTGAATGTGTGGAAGTTCAATGAAGCATACATTACTACATTAGCCACTACATTAGCCCTGTAGCTTCAGCGCTAAAGCTAAAAAAGCAAGCCAAACATGTCTCGGCTGATCAGTCGTATTTGGTGTAACTATCACTTTAAAACAGCAGTGAGTTTGTCCTTACCTTCCCCGTCGCGTCCATGTCCAGGCGCAGCGGCGGGGGTATTTTCCGGGAGCGGGGTGTGTTGGGCGTGAGCGGTGGTGGTGAGAGGAGGTGCGTGTCAGTGGTACGTGGGTGTGTGTGTGGGTGACGGTGGCCCGCTGTGGGCGGCGTCCACTCTGTACCCGGCCAGCTGGTGGGTGGTCCCCTGGGAGTGTACCATGTGACCCGCTCTCAGCCCTCGCACACCCAGGGGCTTTAGCACGGCCCCGCCCACCGGGCCCTCGGCCCCGCCCAGCCCCACCGTCTCCAGTGACTCCAGAGAGTGGGCGTGCCTCATGCTGTCAATCACCCGGCGGAGCCCGCGTTCCTCCGCCTCCCGCTCCATCACGTCCACACACGTCCAGCGGCCCCGCTTGTACGGCTCGCCCAGACCCTGTCCCAGTCGTACCACGCGGAACCGTGAGGCTCCGCCCCCGGCGCCCGTTTGGTCTAATGAGCTCTGCTTCCGCATGGTGACGGGAGTGCTGGGCTGGCTCAAAGTCTGGTATGTCTGGAGGGTTGGGCTTAGAGTGTGGCTGAAGGAGGGGCCATTTAGCATAGCTGTAGTGGGCGTGGCCTGGTCTCCAGAGTCTTTCTGAGCCCCATTGCTCATCAATGGGGAAGCAGCAGTTTCGGGGCTGACGGGCACTTTGGGGCCGGAGCTTTCCCCCACGGTCTGGTTGTAGTCGGAGGTGACGCTGGTGATTTGGAAGCCGCTCCGCTTCTTTCCGCCGCTCATCCTGACAAGAGAGTGCCTGAGTGAAGGTGCTTAGGTCCAAGTTACATCCTGATCTTCTCAGCAAACGAAGAAACTGGACACTTCGTTATAAACACAATGTCCTGCAGAGTGACCACCGAGCATCTGGTTAATATCTCGCAGCACAGGTAACCCCCTGCCCCCACCTACACTTATTCTAACTAAAGCTGGGCTTGTGCGCTCCCTCTCTCTTCATCAGCAGGCCCTCTGAGTCCGAGGGTTGTGCAATATCTGGACACAAACACCAGCTGCCCGCTGTGAGAGAGTGGACGTTATTTATAGTGCTGCTGCTGCTTTTCAGGGTTGTTCATGTTCAGCTCTGAGTGAGACCAGCACGAGCGGTAAAGGAGATATACCGGTGACAGGGGGCGGAGCCTTAAGACTGACTCGAGGGCGTGGCCTGTTGAACTAGCTGTCCACAAGCGGGAGCAGGTTTCGAGCCTTAATGTAAACACTGTTGCTAAAGTGAACTGAACCTGTATAAACAGTATCTGAGCACTAAACTACATAAAACTAACAGCAATATCCAGCAATGGGGCGGAGCCTGTAGCGATGAGGGGGTGTGGCTTGATGAATTCACTGGAAACAAGGGCAAGTTTCGAGCCTTAATGTAAACAACGTAACTAAACCAAAACAAACAGCAGCTACACACCAAACTAAACAAAGTTTATGGCGATATCCAGTGAAGGGGCGGAGCCTGTAGCGATAAAGGGGTGTGGCTTGTTAAACTAAAGTGCCCACATGCTGCACGTTTTGAGCCTGAATGTGAACACCTACTATAGGTAAACCGAATTAAACCAATACAAACAGCTGCACGTGCGCTATAAAACCAAATAAAAAAAAGTGTATAGTGTGAGGAGTGGGCGTGGCCTGCTAAAGCGCCCACATGCTACGAGCCTGAAGAGCTAAATGGAACTAAACCAACGCAAACAGCGGTTAAACTGGAGCAGCAGCTACGAACTGAACTGAAGTGAATCAGTGCAAACAGAGCGTTCACACTGCAAATAAACCAGATCAGCTATTACAGCATTAAACAAACCAGAACTAACTTCAGTCTGAACACTGAACAGGAGCGAACGAGGAAGAGGCTACAGTTCAGTCTTACAGTCTCTCTCCTTCTTTCTCTTCTCACTCTTTCTCTTTTTCTTTTTCACTCCTTCTTTCTCTTCTCACTCTCTTCCTTTTTCTTTTCACTCTTTCTCTTTTCTCTCCGCCTTTCTCTTTTCACTCTTTCTTTTTTACTCCCTTTTTCTCTTTTCACTCCTTTTCTCTCCCTCTTCCTCTTTTCACTCTTTCTTTCCTTCTTTCTCTTTTCACTCCATTTCTCTCCCTCTTCCTCTTTTCACTCTTTCTTTCCTTCTTTCTCTTTTCACTCCTTTTCTCTCCCTCTTCCTCTTTTCACTCTGTCTCTCTCCTTCTCTCTCTCTCTCTCTCTCTCTCTCTCTCCACGGTTTTCTGCTGGTATGAAAGCGGGGTTATGGACACGCGCAGGGGCAACACAGTGAAGCCCCAGTGGGGCACGAGGGGGTGCGGAAAGGCGGGGGGGGTATTAAAATTAAAACGAGCCAAAGACGTCACGTGGTACGCCGAGTACGTGCAGACTCGTAGCTCGCGCGACACAATCGCTGTTACCAATCAGCAAACAGCGCTGGGCGTCTCTGAACAACACTGTTATGACTATGAATAACAGTGATATTAATAACGGCAGTAATAACGCCAGTGTTAGTGCAGCGCGCGCAGCGGCGGTCAGAGAAAGCAGAAGGCGGAGAGCAGAAGTTCTCGGCGCGACCGCTCGCGGTCAGAGTGGGCTCGGCTGGCCGCACGCGCGCTCAGTCCCTTTAACTCCTTTAACTCCTTTACCGCGTCACTGCAACAGCTCCGGAGACGCGCGCGCGGGTGGCGGCGCTGACATACCTGCGCGCGCCTGGAAAAAACTGTCCTCCTCCTCCCAGCAGCTGATCCGCGAGGCTCGAGCGTGCAGGACAGTCCGAAGAGCAGCTCGCGCAGACTGAAAACCCGCTTTACACCGGAGAGGCTCCCTCTGTGCCTCGCGCAGGATCCTCCGCGCGCTCAGGAGCCCCGAGCGGAGACGTTCTTCGCCCCGCGCGCCTCCTCCATGCTGCTGCTGCTGATCCTCGCGCTGAACTCTGTTGACAACTTTCTCCCGAAGCCCCGGAAGTTCCGCCCACCGAGAAAACAGCGAGCAGGGCGTTCGGCACGCACGCGCACGCGCACACGCAGGGGCTGCGCTGGAGATAGCGGGAGGGCGTGCGCGAGGGCGCGGGAACAGGCACTTATCAGAGTGATTTACAGAGGGGGGCGCAGAGCTCGCGCCTCAGGGGGCAAAAGAGCAAAACAGTGAACAGATAAAGAGCCTTAATACGGTTTATAACAGCACGGCGCTAGAACCACTGCACACTAGAACCACTGTACACCAGAACCACTGCACACCAGAACCACTGCAGACTAGAACCACTGCACACCAGAACCATTGCACACTAGAACCACTGCACACCAGAACCACTGCACACCAGAACCACTGCAGACTAGAACCACTGTACACCAGAACCACTGCACACCAGAACCACTGCACACCAGAACCACTTCACACTAGAACCACTTCACACTAGAACCACTGCACACCAGAACCACTGCACACCAGAACCACTGTACACCAGAACCACTTCACACTAGAACCACTACGCACTAGAACCACTGCACACTAGAACCACTGCACACTAGAACCAGTACACACTGAAAAGGGTTCTTCAAGGGTTCTTTAGTACACAGAATGGTTCTATTTAGAATCATGAGTTGTATGTAGAACTATTTTCATGATTAAATGGTTCTTTGCATGCTGAAACTGTTCTTCAGATTGATGGAGGATGTAGATGGTTCTATATAGAACCTTTTTGAATATGGTTCTACATAGCATCAAAAGGGTTCTGCTATTCTTTCGATGTCAAGCTTGTAACAGCAGAATAACCCTTTTTGGTTCTACATAGAACCATTTTCCAAAAGGTTCTACAAAGAACTCTAAACACAACCATTGCCTTTACTAAAGAACCCTTGAAGAACCATCATTTTTAAGACTATATATGTACATATATGTTTGTTTGCCTACCTACGATCATGGGTTCTGTGATGTGTGTATATTTACACACACACGTGTATGTATATAGTTCATTAGGCCTTTCTGTGAAGTGTGTACTAGCTGCGTGTTCTAGGTAGAGCCGAGTAAACAGGGTCCCGTCAGCGCTGCGGCATTTATCACGGTCTGATTTGCATTCCGGGCGACTTTCAGCGTAAACAGGTCCTGAAACTCCACATTTCGGCTCTGAGCGCGTCATTCAGCTCCTTCACACCCACAGCGCTGCGGCAGCCGCCGTCTCTGATTTCACTGCTTCTGCTCCCAAACTGCCCAAACTGCACTTCTGAGTCCACTTTAACGGAAACGCCCACTGAGAGAGTTGAACTGATCTCTGTCGCCACCTAGTGGCCTGCTGTGATAATGACAGGCTGGGTTTTAAAGCTGTAATGCGTTGTTTTTTTTGTTTTTTTCATTTCTACAGTTCAGTGTTTTTACACACGAAGATAGACTCGATCTCAGAGCTTGGCGATATGGCAGAAATACAGTGTCACGATACTTAAAGGCGTTTTATAATAAACGATATGTCACAATATTTATTTCACTGTTCTGATTTCTCAGCTCCACGTTTCAAAACATATTCTTAAAAACTAACAGTGCAATTATTTATATTCAACATTTCACACGAAGTCCTGTAGTAAAATCCCTTTAAACAGGGCTAACGGTGCTGACGGTGTCGATACTCAGAAAAGCCCATCCTGACACATCAGCTGCGCTTCCATTCAAACGTTCCTCAAATGTTACATGTAAACTGAGTCGTGTTTCCATCCACCGCAGTTATGCGAAGAAACTCAGGATGACGTACCCCTTAAAAAAGATGGTTCTTCAAGGGTTCTTTAGTAAAGAAAATGGTTCCATATAGAACCATTAACATTTAAAGAACTGTTTTCATGATTGAACAGCTCACAGCTGGTGAAAGGGTTCTTCAGATTGGTGGGGAATGTGCTGTATGTGGTTCTGTATAGTACCTGGTTGTTGGTGTAGTGTAGTAGGTAACACCTCTGCCTTCTACACTGTAGACTGGGGTTCAATCACCCTGCACTACACAAGTAAGAGTCCTTGGGCAAGACTCCTAATACCTTAGGTCGCTCTGGATAAGAACGTCTACCAAACGCTGTAAATAAATGACCCTTTTGTAAAAGGTTCTATACAGCACCAAAATGGGTTCTACATGGTCAAGATGTCAAGCTTGTAACAATAGAGGACACTTTTAGGTGCTATATAGAACCAGTATCTTTACTAAAGAACCCTTGAAGAACCATCTTTGTAAGTGTGTAGGCTGCTGTGATTTATGATTGTTTGCAGCTGAGAGTCGCCGGGCAGGACGAGCAGCGCCCCCCCTAATGAGGGCTGAATTCTCAGTGCCCCCCTAAGACGTCCACCATCTGGGTACCAAACACACCAGACCGTTCTGGAGCTCACTGTGCAGAGACGTTTTTCAAACCAGCTTCGATCAGCGTTTCAGAACGTCGACGTCCGAACAGCTAAAATCTGTAGGCCAGTCGTTTCTCACTGACGGCTTGATTCGTCATCGTTTATTCAAAAACCCTTTTCTGCTTTTCCACGTATTCTAACTTTCCACATCATCCTAGCGTGAAACTCTTTTTTATACTTGGGTGTTTTTTCGCGTTTTGGTCTTTTTCATTCTTGGATAAAAGCTTCACTCAATCTGGATTTGAGCGTCAGCATCATAAGGAGTTTATTTTCAGGGACCCCCAGAATTTTGATTTTGAGACATTTAGGGAGTCCAGGAGGTTAATTAGTTAATCAACTAATTAATTGTATTTTGGTCCTTAATTTCATGCTTATATGGTTGTTTCCATGGTGAAATGGTTCTTCAGACTGATTAAGCTTGACATAACAATAGCAGAATGGACTCCTTTCACCAAGCATGAAATGGTTCTACATAGAACTCTGGGTTCTATTTCTTTTACTACAGAACCCCTGAAGGACCACCTTTTTTTTAAAGAGCATATATATTTTGAAACAGGCTCTGTAACATGAACCTGTACAGCATATCTAACGTATGTGCTCATGGGGCCACTAGAGGGCCCCCTACTCTACCTACTGCACTGACCCCCCTGTTCTTATGTAAATATGAAGGAATGCTTTAATGTTAGAGGTTTAATGTACTGAGTATCTTTTCAAAGCTCCTCTAATGTGTGTCTGTCTTCAGTGGAGCTGCTGGTGAAGACGTGAGTCTCTCGGAGGCTGAAGGTAAAGCGTCTGTGCTGGTTATGAAAATTACACATTAAATCCCACAAAACAGGCAGCTGGTATTAAAGCGATGCCTATGAGGACGACGCAAAGGTACCTTTAGGAAAGACCACCATCTTCCCCACCACCAGGTTCAGTAACTAATATAGAAGCACTACATTAATGTGCTCATTTATGCATATTAATATGAATGTTGCACATTATGGGGGATGAAAGATGGAAGAGTATTGCTTCTGTTTAGATAGCCACCCATTAATGCTGTTTTTCTGATGTTTTTGTCACAATTTGTTTAAATATGCTTGAGTTTCAGGAATATAAATAAAACCTATTGCTTATGTATCTATTATATATACATGCTGTGAATGAAGTAGTTAGATTTTATACTGTAGAGATATTTACAGTGTCAGATGTACTGAAATAAACTGGAATTATTTCCACTGAGCTATGAATAAAGACTCTGTGATATTCTGAAGGTTTATTTAAATTAATTTACCTTTAAGGAAACTGTTTGAGTTCAGTTTGTATTTTTTATTTTTTTATTTTTCAGAATGTATCGTATCGTGAACAGTGTATCGTCACAGCCCTCGTGCACTTATCTGAACATTCTGACTGACTGAGAGATAAAAGTCCTGTAAACAAATCAAACAGAGCACAAACAGCTGCAGTGATACAGTTTATTAGCTGTTCTCTGGACGGCCGGAGTCGATGAGCTCCGTTTGAAGGTTCAGTTAAAACAGACACTGTGACTGTAAAACAGATGATGAGATTACAGAGAGAACGTCACTCAGAGCTGGAGATCCTGATCATAACAGCACTGAATCACCAGCTCCATCAGACACAGTCCTCGATCTGCTCCTCCTCCATGATTCAGTCTGACCGTAGAGTCTGTTTATCATGAAGTTCCACCTTTGATAAACCACAACAGCAGCTGAAGCTCCTGAGATCAGCATCTCTGACTCTGAAGAAGCTGAGCGGTCAGCACTGAAGGCTTTTCTCAGTGGAGAAGATGATTGTGGGTTTGGTCTGTCAGGCTGCTGACTGAACACAGCTGCATGAGCTAAACCTAGACTGAATCTGAGGAGCAGATCAGGAGAAAAAGCTTCAGCATTCAGTTTATCCAGGTCTGATAACTACACACACACACACACACACACTACACACACACACACACACACACACTACACACACACACACACACAACACACACACACACACACACACACACACACACTACACACACACTACACACACACACACACACACTACACACACACAGACAGACAGACACACTACACATACACACACACTCTCACACACACACACACACACACACTACACACACAATACACACACACACACACACACACTACACACACAATACACACACACACTACACACACAATACACACACACACACACTACACACACACTACACACACACACTACACACACACACACACACATACACACACACTACACACACACTACACACACACACTACACACACACACTACACACACACTACACACACACACACACACACACTACACACAATACACACACACACTACACACACAATACACACACATACACACTACACACACACTACACACACACACTACACACACACACACACACACACATACACACACACACTACACACACACACACACTACACACACACACCACACACACCACACACTACACACACACAGACAGACAGACAGACACACTACACATACACACACACTCTCTCACACACACACTACACACACACTACACACACACACACTACACACACACACACACACTACACACACAATACACACACACACTACACACACACACACACTACACACACACTACACACACACACTACACACACACACACATACACACACACACTACACACACACACACACACTACACACACACACCACACACACTTCACACACACAGACAGACAGACAGACACACTACACATACACACACACTCTCTCACACACACACTACACATATACACACACACACACACACAAACACACACTCACACACACACAGAAAGACAGACACACTTCTGTATTTTTTGGCAGTTGTAAATATTTCCGTACTGGTATTAAGCAGCAATACTCTTTACCTTGTGAATCTTCATTTGATTCAGAATTACTTTAATTGATTCAATAATTCATAATCATTGAGACATTAAAGTGAATATCAGCAGAATGACTCCTCATTCTGAATAGCTTTATGATTGATTTGTAATGATTTGGATGAGTGAACATTAGCAAAATGAGTCCTGATTCAGATCAGCTTTATGATTCAATGACTCATGATGATTCTGAGTAAACATCAGTAAAATGATTCCTAATTCAGAATAGCTTTATGATCGATTTGTAATGATTTGGATGCGTGAACGTTAGCAAATGATTCCTGACTCAGAAGAGCTTAATGATTTCAGTGATATATAATGATTCAGGCAAGTGCAAAAGGCACTTGAATCAGAATTATTGATTCAGTGATTCATAATAATTATGAGATAACATCAGCAAAATGACTCCTGATTCAATGACTCATAATGATTCAGAGTGAACATTGGCAAAACGATTGCTGATTCAGAATTAAATTCTGATTCAGTGATTCAAAATAATCATGAGTAAACATCAGCAAAATGACTCCTGATTCAGAATTGCTTTATGATTCAGTGACTCATAATGATTCTGAGTGAACATCAACAAAGTGACTCCTGATTCAGAATTAAATTCTGATTCAGTGATTCATAATAATCATGGGTAAACATCAGCAAAATGACTCCTGATTCAGAATTGCTTTATGATTCATTGACTCATGACTCTGAGTCAACATCAGCAAAATGACTCCTGATTCAAAATTGCCTTATGATTCAGTGACTCATAATGACTCTGAGTGAACATCAGCAAAGTGACTTGTGATTCAGAATTCCTAAAAAGCAGAAACTCTTCCCAAATGTAATAAAACCTGATTCATTTAAACGATTCCTGGACGTATTTACACTCTTACACTGTTCATCTCAGCAGTAGGAGGAAAAAAAGTCACCTGTTTTTTTTGTATCTAGCAGCTGTGGATGACATTTTCGATTTATTGATGATAAATAATGACTTATTTTATCTACATTTTGATTCATCACAAAAGAATTATTTCCTTTCTGAGCAAACAGGTGATGTTCATCTCCTAGCTGAGTGAACAGGCTCCTGTAGTCGACACAGAGAGGATACAGAGTCAGGGACTGATCGGATTCGAACAAAGTGCCCAAAACAAACAGAGAAATGAAGATGAAGTCCTTTTTCTCAGGTGAAGGTGAGATGTTTATCTTCTCCGATGCCGTATTTGTCCTTATTCTCCTCAAACAGTTCAGTTAAACCCTTCAGACAAACACAGATTACGTTATAAACCACATTCACACATCAGACAGTCCACAGAGATCAGACACTGTAAGACTCCTACAATAATAATATCCTATATTATTACATCGGTTTACACTATGATGACCTTCTCTATGGCAGTAAGTGAAGAATGATTCATATCAGTCTCCTCTATAATAACCTCTATTACACCATCTATAAGAGTATTATAAGATATTAACCGTATTCAGCCTAAAGCGTCACTTCCTGAAATGAGCTAAATTACCTGTCAGGGGATCATTTTCACCAGATACGGACAGTCGAATGATAACGAGTCGAACAATCACCTAATGTTCTTACACCACCACGATGAGAAACATTAGATATTCTGATTAGACTTCTGCAGCATGATTTGCTAGTTAGTAGTTTGATAATTGATCAGTTATAGCTGATCTGCATCTTACTGGAAGTTCTATATGTATTGATTATTGATTTGTTTAGGACTGACCTGTATGTACAGCGCGTGCAGAGCCTCAATATCCTCTTTAGTGGGGGAAGGATTCTGAACCACGGGAATCGGCCGTCCGACTATACGATACACAGAGAGAGTGAGAGAGAGAGAGAGAGAGAGACTACTAAGTGCTGATTGATTAGCGTTACAGCTACTGAGTGCTGATTGGTTATCGTTACTGCTACTGAGTGCTGATTGGTTATCGTTACTGCTACTGAGCGCTGATTGGTTAGCGTTACAGCTACTGAGCGCTGATTGGTTAGCGTTACTGCTACTGAGTGCTGATTGGTTATCGTTACTGCTACTGAGTGCTGATTGGTTAGCATTACTGCTACTGAGTGCTGATTGATTAGCGTTACAGCTACTGAGCGCTGATTGGTTAGCGTTACTGCTACTGAGTGCTGATTGGTTAGCATTACTGCTACTGAGTGCTGATTGGTTAGCGTTACTTCTACTGAGCGCTGCTTGATTAGTCTTACAGCTACTGAGCACTGATTGGTTAGTGTTACTGCTACTGAGCGCTGATTGGTTAGCGTTACTGTTACTGAGTGCTGATTGGTTAGCATTACTGTTACTGAGTGCTGATTGGTTAGCATTACAGCTACTGAGTGCTGATTGGTTAGCATTACTGCTACTGAGTGCTGATTGGTTAGCATTACTGCTACTGAGTGCTGATTGGTTAGTCTTACAGCTACTGAGCGCTGATTGGTTAGCGTTACTGTTACTGAGTGCTGATTGGTTAGCGTTACTGTTACTGAGTGCTGATTGGTTAGCATTACAGCTACTGAGTGCTGATTGGTTAGCATTACTGCTACTGAGTGCTGATTGGTTAGCATTACTGCTACTGAGCGCTGCTTGATTAGTCTTACAGCTACTGAGCGCTGATTGGTTAGCGTTACTGCTACTGAGTGCTGATTGATTAGTCTTACAGCTACTGAGCGCTGATTGGTTAGCGTTACTGCTACTGAGCGCTGATTGGTTAGCATTACTGCTACTGAGCGCTGATTAGTTAGCGTTACTTCTACTGAGCGCTGCTTGATTAGTCTTACAGCTACTGAGCGCTGATTGGTTAGCGTTACTGCTACTGAGTGCTGATTGATTAGTCTTACAGCTACTGAGCGCTGATTGATTAGTCTTACAGCTACTGAGTGCTGATTGGTTAGCGTTACTGCTACTGAGCGCTGATTGGTTAGCGTTACTGCTACTGAGTGCTGATTGGTTAGCGTTACTGTTACTGAGTGCTGATTGGTAAGCATTACAGCTACTGAGTGCTGATTGGTTAGCATTACTGCTACTGAGTGCTGATTGGTTAGCATTACTGCTACTGAGCGCTGATTGGTTAGCGTTACTTCTACTGAGTGCTGCTTGATTAGTCTTACAGCTACTGAGCGCTGATTGGTTAGCGTTACTGCTACTGAGTGCTGATTGATTAGTCTTACAGCTACTGAGCGCTGATTGGTTAGCGTTACTGCTACTGAGCGCTGATTGATTAGTCTTACAGCTACTGAGCGCTGATTGGTTAGCGTTACTGCTACTGAGTGCTGATTGGTTAGCATTACTGCTACTGAGCGCTGATTGGTTAGCGTTACTGTTACTGAGTGCTGATTGGTTAGCATTACTGCTACTGAGCGCTGATTGGTTAGCGTTACTGTTACTGAGTGCTGATTGGTTGGCATTACTGCTACTGAGTGCTGATTGGTTAGCATTACTGCTACTCTCTGTAATGCTAATCCAGGTGGCTCCTGTTACTCTGCTGGCCTGTTTGTATATGTATACCGTACCGATGGTATGTATGGGTTTTCTGTAGGGTAAAAGGCCGAAGTTGTATTGGAAAACCCCTCTGGCATGAAAGAGAGGCAAAGCCACGCCTATAATCCTCTGGAGGCGTTCCTGAACCTGGCGGAGGGTGGAGCCTATAGGGTTCTGCATCTGATCAAACAGCTCATTCTCTCCAAAGGAGAACACAGGAACCAACCAGGCTCTAAAACACAGACAGACAAAAGTGTATTACTGACCAAAATATTCATTTTAAAGCAAAAACATCTAACACCCCCAGCACCCCCCATTCCCCGAGCCTCCCCCCAACCAGCTGCCAAAATGTGGCTGACCGGTCAAGACGTTTAACGTCCGAAACCTGCTTCTTTTTTTTTTAGCACTGGAGCTACGAGGCTTACACCCCACCAATTAGCATGGTGCTAACTGCATACCTAAATCATTACTCACTCTGCTCAGACTGTGTGGAGCTGTTCAGTGTCTCTATTAGACTTGATTATGTGGTTTCTGACTCACTGTTATCCGTAAACATGGACTACAGTACATTAACACAGCTAAAAACAGTAGCAGCCACCTGGAAGACCAATTTTTGTCCATATATTTTTTTCTTTTTTACAACAATGTCTTGGCTGTTTGACTACATGTGAGGTAAGAGGGCTAAAAATATTGCCTCAGCCAAACCGATCACTGCCTCTGCCTGTAACCGAGTCAGACCTTCTCTCTCGCTTGTTCAGTGTGTCTGTTTTGTCAGTGAATCTGAGGTGTTACAGGTTTTTCTTCTCAGTCTGTCTCCAGGCTGAGCTCCTCCGCTCCGCACCGCCTGTACGGAATCCCCAGTGCAGAGTGAACAGACCCTCTATGAGCCCCTCACCCGTGTTTCAGGGCCAGTTTGATGAAGCCTTTCCTCTGCAGCACCTGGAGAGTCAGAGCTCCAGGCCGCGCCTCCAGAGACTCCGGAGCTCCGCCCACCGCCACCACGGCCGCGTTCCCACCCCCCGGCTGACTCAGCAGGTAACTCGCGCTCGCCTTCTCACTCGACACCAAACCTGCAGGACACAGGTCAGGGGTCAGGGGTCAAACCCAAACCGGACGAAGAAACACTGCTGTTTAAAAATATGGAACCACAATGCTTATTAATCATAGTACATAATCAATATAACATCATAAAAATAGAGTCAAAGTTCAGGTTCTACTGTAATAATAAACAGTTACTGAATGATAAACAATGTACTGCAATTACCTGGTTTCAATTAGTTTTGTTTACTTATCTGCCTCAAGATTTGACCACCACTTTTTTGGCATTCTGGATGTTAATTTTACTTAAACTTCATTTTTAATGATAAATTTATTAGAATTTCATTCTGGACATAAATTTTATTAGAACTTCATTCTGAATATTAATTTTATTAGAACTTCATTCTGAATATTAATTTTATTAGAACTTCATTGATGAATTTAATTTTAGTAGAACGTCATTCTGAATATTAATTTTATTAGAACTTCATTTTTAATGTTAATTTTATTAGAGCTTCGTTCTAAACGCTCTGCAGTTTCCTCATTCAGAATAATCCATTCACCATAACTGAGTGCTGTTATTTCCTCACAGTGAATGTAACGAGGTCAGTTGTGTCACGTTCTCTGGGTTCTGTGTCACAGTGAGAGGTGATGTCACAGGGCGATGTGTGCTAAAGGTGGTTCTGTGCGGTTCTCTCTGAAATCCTCTCGTTACTCAAGCGCAGTCTCAGATGCGAGGGGTGTCGAGGGCTCCTGAGACGGTGGCTGAACTCTGTGAACTCTGAGTGTAACGACTGAGTCAGAGCTGAGAATCTGGAACGCTGGTTGTTCAGGACGTTATGATGCAACAGCTGCTCTTTCAGAGGCGAGTTCAGACCTGCCTCCTGTACAGACTCGTCACAGTGTGGACTTCAAATGAACTGCATCCTGATCAGGTTCTTCTCCTCAGTCCTGATCAGAGTCCTGCCCATTCGGGTCTGTTTACCCGGTTATATTTTCATAAATAACGCAGCTGCACAGTTTAAACAAGGCCAACTAAACAAATGGGCACTTGTTTTATTAGCAGCACCAGGAAGCTCAAAATTACAATCACACCCGAAACAGCCAGACCAACCAGAGTCCAGACCAACCAGAGTCCAGAACAACCAGAGTCCAGAACAATGGATAAACAAATGCTGAGTGACAGCGTCACTGTGGAACAGTGAACACTCAGAGACGCACCCTGACGCTTATTCGTCCCACTTTACCCTGAACGCACCTCACACCACTCAGTCAAACCGAGTGTCACTCAATCATTTTAAACTCTAACCACCTTCAGACGGCCTGGAACCGTTTTAGAGTTGAACTTCTTCCTTTCTCCCTTTATGTACTTTTATTATTTTAAATTCTATTTTATCTCACTATTTTATTACAACTCTTATCTGATGTAAATTCTTTTACTGTTCTGTTTTAGTAAATAATTAGATTTTTCTAAAATGTTTAATTCTCCTATTGTTTATTATCTTATTAGATTCTTTTACTTAACTTTAATGTGTTTTCATTACATATTCTTTTGCTATTTTATGCCTGTTTTCTATTTGAGCTGTTATTTTTATTTCTTTACAAACGTTCTTGTCTTGCAGATTTTCATTCGGTTTAGTTAATAAACGTCATTTAACGTTTTTCAATCACTGTTTAATTTGCTCAGCTACACTGTAAATGAGGGTCACCCTCCCTTATAATGTACATCTGAGTCGAAATGAAGGAGAAAAAACTCACTGATACAGCTAACATTAGCTCCTCTCCACGCCTCAGAACAATCACTGCGCTCATAAACCTTCACCCATCGCTCACGCTGAGGTTCTGTTACTGTCTAAATCAGATCTACTGTAAGCTTATTAACGCAGCTCTTGTGGACAGTTAACTGATAACTTTGCAGGAGAAGCAAAAAAAATTCTTAACTTAATTTGTGTTAAAAGATTTATTTCAGGCGAATCTGAAGCAATACTATTGGTCTTTTCATCATGACCTGTAAATATGATATAAAGAGGCCACCTGGTGTTCGTTTTCGGTTTTAATGACAGCAACCATATGTAAAAATCTGTGGAGATATATATATATATATATATATATATATGCACAGATATATTTATTTATTTATGAAAACATTTTAATAAAGCATAGATATTTATGCATATTTTGTTACTATTGTAAAATGTTCTTAGGTCTGAGAAATGTGCTGCGTAAATTAAGTTTATATAGTTGTTTTTAAGTTTACATTGTTGTTTTTATTATTATCATAATTATTTTTATGTACACTCTTAAAGAGATGGTTATTCAAGAGTTCTTTAGTAAAGAAAATGGTTCTGTATAGAACCGTTAACACTCAAATGGTTCTTCAGAATGTGCTGTAGATGGTTCTATATGGAACCTTTTTGAAAAGAAGGGTTCTTCTAGTGTTACGATGTCAAGCTTGTAACAATAGAGGAACCCTTTTGGGTGCTATATAGAACCCTTTTCAAAAAGGTTCTATGTACAATCATCTACAGCACATTCTCTGTCAATCTGAAGAACACTTTCATGATGCAAAGAACTCTTTAATAATGCAAAGGGTTTTTTAAGTGTTAATGGTTGCATATAGAACCTTTTTCTTTACTAAAGAACCCTTGAAGAACCATCTATTTTAAGAGTGCACAAACCCACTCAGCTAAGCCCTTAGCTAAGATCAGGAACTGTGTGTTTGTGAAAGAGTCACAATGATTTATCTCAATGATTTATCACCAGCGTCACACCATCGACAGCCACTCAGCTAAAGTCTGAATGAGCAGAATAACAGTATAAACACATCAGTCATCTGAGTAATATCAGCCTGACCGGCTCAGCTAATCACCCATAAACAGGTCTGCGAGGCTCCGCTGACCGTCTGACTTTCAGGCTGCACCCTGTGTGCGTGACTGTGCTGCCCAGTTGGGTGACGTCAAACATTTCTACACAGTAAACTTTCACAATGTCCTTTTACGCAATGAAGGACAGCTCAGAGAGTGACCCCACACACAGTCCCGTCCACTCCACTAAAGTCAGCCTAAAACAGAAACACACACTTAAAGAGCCTCGTATCCTGCAGTTACTCACAGTTTACTGCTCTCTCTGAGGCTCATCTGAGTTATTTTATCAACCAAAAGCAGTCATGATTCATCTGTACATGATCTTTTCTAACCTCTCTTCATCTCTTACAGTTAAACAGGCTGTCTTTGGTGCTGTGCCTTTAAGACTGATATATAATAAATGAGCTCTGTTCTGATTGGCTGCTCTATACTGTGCCTCATTCAAAGAGCTGAAACACTCCTTACAACTTCAGTTTGAATGGGTGGAGCTAAAGTGCTGCCAGCTGAAACTTTTATAATAAATTCAGTTTTTCATAATATGAGCTCTTTTACACTAAACAGCCTACACACATATATATATATATATATATAAACTTGGTATGATGTATTTGACACACAACGCTGCTTTTACTCAAATTAAAAAGTACAACCGTAGCAATATTAGGATTTATAGGCACCTCTTGGGTAGTTATGTCAGGCATAACTAAGATAAACCCCCCCTTAAATGCCGTACACCCACCCTTGCCAAACAGTGGACACTCTCTCACCTCCACACATGATGTATTCCCTGAAGAAAGGCACTCTGAACCAGAAGGGCAGCATCAGCAGATAGGGAGTCAGTCCAGGAAAGAGCTTGGAAAACCCTGATGCTTCCGTACAGAAGTTCCCAAATCCACCAGCAACCAGCACACCGTGAGGGTGGAACCCAAACAGGTAGTTATGACTCGGATCCAGATCCACCGTCTTCACCAGCTGGACACAGAGAGGAATGATGCAGGCCTGATCTCAGCATATTCACAGTTAGCACTCTATATACATTCATATGATCCACACAGTCATTCCGACAGACTGTAATACACTACAGAGAGTGTAGGGGGCGATATGGCTTCTACTGTTTCATTTAAAAAGCTCTAAAATGTTCATATGATCCACACAGTCACTCTGACAGACTGTAATACACTACAGGAAGTGTAGGGGGCGATATGGCTTCTACTGTTTCATTTAAAAAGCTCTATAATGTTCATATGATCCACACAGTCACTCTGACAGACTGTAATACACTACAGGAAGTGTAGGGGGCGATATGGCTTCTACTGTTTCGTTTAAAAAGCCTCTATAATGTTCATATGATCCACACAGTCACTCTGACAGACTGTAATACACTACAGGAAGCGTAGGGGGCGATATGGCTTCTACTGTTTCATTTAAAAAGCTCTATAATGTTCATATGATCCACACAGTCACTCTGACAGACTGTAATACACTACAGGAAGTGTAGGGGGCGATATGGCTTCTACTGTTTCATTTAAAAAGCTCTATAATGTTCATATGATCCACACAGTCACTCTGACAGACTGTAATACACTACAGGAAGTGTAGGGGGCGATATGGCTTGTATTAGTTTAATGCACCACAAAAGATGTTTGTTGCACAGATGGAATTTTAAATGACAGCAGTTGCAAAAAGAGAAGCAGAACAGTTTAATTAGTCGCTTAATTGAATACTTGTTGATTACTTGAGTACAGAACTGATATCGTTAATCAGCTGTGGCCAGAGATTCTGGAAATTTTTTGACACTCAAAGTGGCCATAAATTATCTACTTTGACATGCAGAACGACCAATCACTGACCGGCAGGTGTATAGAGAACTTTATAAATGAGTTATTCAATTAAGTGAGCAATTAAACGATTCTGCTTCCTCCAGTAATTTGTGATTACAAATTCACACAAATTCATGACCAAACACTGCAATATTTACACACTGTATAGACATTTAATGCAGTAATAATCCACCACTGGAATAAAAACAGAAGCCCTTGCAAAAATGCACAGATTGGTTGAATTTGTAATCACGAATTTTGAAATCGAAAATTCCTGAAGGGCCTGATTTTCTAACTGCTTTAACTAAAATTACTGACTATCTTGGAACGCCAAGCTTCGCTCTGAGGGTCATTGCAGAACAGTGAGAGCCTTACAGAAATGGGGAAATAGTCCCTGAAGTATCTCCACACGGTCCAGCTTCTGACCCAGTGTGACCTCCGACCTCCAGACGTGGGCGTGTCCCTGTCCAGATACAGCCAACCAGCATACAGCGCCGCCAAAATCCACCAATCACTGACGCAGAGCAGCACGAACGCAGCCAGACAGAACTGAGCTACAGAGAGAGAGAGAGAGAAAGAGAGAGAGACAGAGAGAGAGATACAGAGAGAGTGAGAGAGAGGGATACAGAGAGAGAGAGATACAGAGAGAGAGAGAAAGAGAGAGAGAGAAAGAGAAAGAGAGAGAGATACAGAGAGAGAGAGAGATACAGAGAGAGAGAGAGAGAGAGAGAGAGAGAGAGAGAAAGACAAAGAGAGAGAGATATGCAGAGAGAGAGAGAGAGAGAGAGAGAGAGAGAGAGACAGAGAGAGAGAGAGAAGAGAGAGAAGAGAGAGAGAGAGAGAGAGAGAGAGAGAAAGAGAGAGAGAGAGAGAGAGAGAGCTGGTGTTCCAACAGTGCAAAAATAATAAAACCATGGAAACATTATAAAAATTGCTCAAATTTCACATCAAATTTAAAAAACAGGGAGACACCATTGAGAATGTGTTTGATCGCTGCTGCTACACCTGAACCACAATATCACAGCATAATTACACTCCCCCACTGTGATAAACAGCCCGTCAGCTCTTACTGTCCATACAGAACTTCATTTGGTTCATGTCATTTAATTAGGAACCTGAGTTGTCACTGAAGAATGTAAAGCGGGTTCTGTTGCTGTAAGACTCCTTTTGGTCAAACAGTTTTTACAGTACAGCCTGTTAAAGTGTGGACTGTCCTAATAAACTGAATTTGTTCTATAATAAGATCATTTTAAAAGCAAGTTTTTGCCAGTTTTGCAAATGTGTGTAATTTTCCTTTTAAATTTCCAATAAAAATAAATAAATAAATAAATAAGTAGCCAATTTGGCTCCTCTAAGGGTAAATACTGTTATTTATACTGTGACTTTGGCTAAAAGGTCTGTAAACATGCTGAAGTGCTTCATGTGTTTATTTAACCCACACAGTTAACCCTCGGGTTAAAAAAGAAAAGGCTGATAAAAATCAGACAAAAAGCTCAGCAATCGGATAATTTGGCTGTTAAAAAATAGAAATAGGTTGTAAAAATTCATGAGCGGTGCGCCTGCAGTTAAAAAGGATGAAATAATACAGTTAATAAGTACAGTTAAAGTTATGGGTGTTTCTGTTGGAACTGTGCTGACTGTGTTCTCAGAGAGACCTTTACCCTCTAGACCAGAGGGCTGACAAACAACTCTCTCCCTACACCATCAGCATCACTATTATAGGGGGAAACATCCACAGATTTTTCCAAATTTCTATATAAATAGATGGTTAAGATGTAAACAGAGCGGTTCAGAGTGGTTTGGTGTGAAACGCTCTGTTCTAGATAAACTTACCGAGTCAGAACTGTTCACAGTGGTGGTGATAGGAACCAGACGTCCACCTCTAAAAGCTCCCTCACAGAAAGTTACTACAGTAAATGGTTATGAATTCACTGCCTGATGACTGAGACACTGTTTTATGATAGTTTAGAGAACTTAAACTCCATTCATGGTGGAGGGATACATGCAGGGCGCTGTGAGGCAAAATAGTCCCCAAAGAAAACTTATTATTTCAGATTTTCCACTATTTTCATCATCAACATCCATATAAACTCAGAAGACTCGTGTAGGTTCACTGGTGGTTCTGGATAGTAAATAAAATGTCTATATTTGTGTTGTAGTCATGGCGACGCCTGGTTCCTATCACCATCACTGTAAAGACATCTGAACCATTTCACACCAAACCGCTCTGAATCACTCTGAATGAATTATGCTGTTATATGACGTTTTTACTGACCGAGCGCGAGGAAGGAGAAGACCCACTGCACCACAGCAGCCGTCTGCAGCCGCCGCCGCAGAGGAATATTCAATGGAGCGAACTCTACCTTCATCCTCCTGCACACAAACACACACAGAGCAACATCAAACAGAAGAATACATCTACTTTGAGTTTACCCGTTCCTTGTATAATGTCCACAGAAAAGCACTGGCCAATAGAATGGGACGCTCTGCAGCAGCCGCACATGAGCCTAAGGTCACCATGCCCAATGCCCAGCGTGGGCTAGAGGGGTATAAAGCCCTCCAGCATTGGGCTGTGGAGCAGTGGAACTGTGTTCTCTGGAGTACCTTGGATGAGTTGGAGTGATCCAGAACTGACCATCCAACATCAGTACTAATGCTCAATCAAATCCTCACAGCAATGTTCAACATCTAGAAGCCTCCCCAGAAGAGTAGAGGCTGTTGCTGCAGCACAGACTCACTATTAACACCTTCATTTCAGAACAAACTTGTGGAGCAGGTCTCTACAGACTTCTGGACCTACGGCGTAAACATTACATATGTATGATGTAAATTAATGTAATATAATGGAGTTTTAAACACTGTGTCCACTCACTGTCCACTCTATTAGACACGCCTACCTTGTCAGTCCACCTTGTAGATGTAAAGTCAGAGACGATAGCTCATCTGCTGCTGCACAGTTTGTGTTGGTCATCCTCTAGTCCTTCATCAGTGGTCACAGGACGCTGCCCACAGGACGCTGTTGGCTGGATATTTTTGGTTGGTGGACTATTCTCAGTCCAGCAGCGACACTGAGGTGTTTAAAAACTCCAGCAGCACTGCTGTGTCTGATCCACTCAGACCAGCACAACACACACTAACACTCCACCACCACGTCAGTGTTACTGCAGTGCTGAGAATGACCCACCACCCAAATAGTACCTGCTCTGTGAGGGTCCATGGGGGTCCTGACCACTGAAGAACAGGGTAAAAGGGGGCTAACAAAGTATCAGAGAAACAGATGGACTACAGTCTGTAACTGTAGAACTACAAAGTGCACCTATATAGTAAGTGGAGCTGATAAGATGGACAGTGAGTGTAAAAACAAGGAGGTGGTCAGAATGAAGTGACCTTAAGCACATTGTTTATTTTAGAATAAATTAGCATAAATGGAAATAAACATTAATGCAGTAAGAATTAAAGTCTTATTAAAGTAGTTGATACGTTGTGAGCTGGTTAGATCAACAGGTGTCCAATACTTTTGCACAGTACTGCACGTATATATGTATATGTATGTATACATACAGTACGCATGCGCGTACATACACAAACATGCACACTCGCGATGAACTACTACTTTAACACTGGAAAGAGAGAGTGAGAGATACAGACAGAGACAGAGAGACAGAGAGAGAGAGAGAGAGAGAGAGAGAGAGAGAGAGTATTAAAATAGCCAGCCTACCTTTTCTCACATTGGAGGATTCTCCAAAATCACAGGCAGCCTGTCCGCCCACACACACACACACACACACACACACACACACACACACACACACACACACACACTCTCAGACTAAAACTCCTCAGCGCAAAGGCTCGCGCTCTTCTCTCAGACCGTGCTGCCGGCTCTGCGTCGCGTGCGGACTGGGTTCGGTCACTCAGGTCAGTCTGTCCGTCCACAGCAGCTGAAGTTCTGAACTTCTCTCCACAAACGCTCGACCCGGACTGAAGAAGCCCCGCCCACATCTAGCCAACACCTATGACATCACGCACCCGCCCCTCTCAGCCACACACTTCTGACCAATCAGGACGAAGCTTGGGTTGACGTAACGCTGGACTGTCCGTGCCATATTTACACATGCAGACTGTATAACAATCCCAAATACGAGGCGCGTTCAGTCACCCGTCCAACCTCAGAGCTGCTTCATATGTTTCATTAAAGAGTGACGTCAGTCAGACACGCAGCACTGAGGACCCTTTAAAGACCCCTTACATTCAACTGATCTCAAAGTCAAGTCAAAAGCCAAAGTGAAATTTATTGTCATTCAGACTAAACAATAAGCAGTGCTGAACGAGATTCTCCAACTCCGATGTGCAAAACTGTACATAAATATACACTATATTGCCAAAGGTTTTCACTCGCCCATCCAAATCATTGAATTCAGGTGTTCCAATCACTTCCATGGCCACAGGTGTATAAAACCAAGATATATATACTCATCCACCCATTGATTCCATCAATAATTCTGCCTTTTTTCAGCGAGCAGAAAAGCAGGCAGAAACTGCACTGAGAGCAGACTGATTGCTGTTCATTTGTCAGATCACAATTCTATTTAGCTTTTAGTGGATAATGTGCAAACGTCTTTATTGAACAGGAGATTAGTAACCATACACACAGTGTGCTTTTGTGATACTGTAATGGGGCAGGATACTCATTTATAAAACAGACAGACATTTAAAAGCAAATAAGAATAACTAATAAAAAAAACATTCTATAATTCACAATGGTATATACATTAATTTGGTAATTACTGTTATATTTTCTCTAAATTAAACTCAGTTCCAGGTATAAATCTCCACATTACTGTTATATTCTCTACATTACACTCAGTTCCAGGTATAAATCTCCACATTACTGTTATATACTCTACATTACTCTCAGTTCCAGGTATATGTAGAGTTTTGTTATGTGGGACTGAAGAACACTGCCCTAAATAATCACATCTCACAGCAGAAGAACCCTCTCCCTTTCTGAACCACAGTGCCTGATCCACTGACTCGTCACTCTCCACGAAACACACAAATGGGTTCAGGTGAGTCTGATTTCTCCCTCAGACAATTTTCAGATCTACTCATTGAAGTTAATAATACAATTTCTGTCTCAAATACTGCATTACGTAAAGAGAATGATCTAACAAAGATTGTGAGAATTGTGTGGACGCTTGCTCAGAATCTATCACAGTGCAACCAACAATACAGGCAGCATGGACTCTTTTTTATATGGTGAAAGAGAACAAAATAGCTCACAGAAAGCTACAATTCCACATACTGAAACATTTTACTATGACCAACATGGATGTCTCCAACTATTCTGGGGGCAGACTTTAATCAAACGGGACAAATACATCAGCTACTATACAACAGGTTTGATAGGGATAATTTAATATTAGTAAAATTGTGTCAGCTACTGACAAAGCTGACTTGTGGTGAAGAAGGAACTTTTAAATTTATATTTATATATATATTTATATTCCCTACATCATCCTTATATCAGATCAATCCGCATTTCTAAACTCTACTGGTTCACCCATTGACTCACCACTCTTCATGGACACACAGCTAAGTTCAGGAGAATCTGATCTCTCTCTCTGAATCACACTAAAATACAATCAACCATTATCTCACAGATTTAAATTCATTTTCCTCTAAATTTACACAATCAGTTCACACCTTAATTCTTTGAGAATCATGTTTATCCAATTCAGATCAGCAAAAGAGCAGGTCATATGATAGACATGCACATGCGAGCATAGACTGATCTGACGTCTCTTTGGGAACTGATATCTATAAAGTTAACACAAAGCGAGAACATTTAAGTTCTATTCTCTCACCTCTGGTCTTTCTCTGTGTGCGGTTCCCCAAAGAAACTCATTTTGGAGCTCATGTCTCCTCATATAAATCTTCATACACACACAAAGGCAACATTTGTTCACATTATTTAGAATATGAGTTCAAAATAGCGTAAAAAGTTATACCTCCTGTCAAGCCTGGCACTGTTTTAGCTCACAAACTGATATTTGAGACTGCAATAAAATTGTTTGGAGCATTTTTTAGCTAGAACATTTAACAAATTTAACATTTAACAAATTACTGGAAGGATCCTCAGTGTATTTTTCTCTCTTAATGCAGTTTATGTTGCTCTCATGGTTAAAATGATACTCCTCAATCAGACTGTAACTCATATTTGGGCTGAGAACATCACCTGATTCCTCTAACAGTCTCAACATTCAGTTACTTATCATAATTCAACAGATTTATTCTGGGCTGAGATCATAAATACAAACAAAAGTTTAGACAGTAAAACATAAGGATATTGTCTGTTCTGAATGGCTTCAAAGGATGTTTTGAAAAATACCTTTTAAATACTCTACATTAGAATGAAGGTTTACAACATAGTCCCCCAAAATAATGATTAGATCAGATAGAAACGCTTGAACTCAACTTTGTAAATTTTGTAATTAAAACTGCCACACCCCAAACACCAGATGGACTGAAGGTGAAAGACTTGACTACATATAATAAAATATTTAAGTATCTGGTGAACAAACAACAATTGCAATGTTGTCTCATCTTGTCCTGACAAGTCCAGGAATACAAGTTTTTTCATGTTAATATTTTTTATTCAATTTATATTGACAGACTAAAATAATACCACACTATATTGCTAATAAACGCTAAATACTGCACTTTAGAGACTTAAATATTGCCCTCTAGTGGTTAAAATAAATACAGCATCCTAGTAACTACAAAAATAGATAGATAGATAGATAGATAGATAGATCGATAGATCACTTTATTAATCCCAGATGAAAAGTCACCTATTGCACCAGCACAAAGAACAGTAAAGAGCAAAACAGAGCAAAAGAACAAAAGTAAAATATTGGTGTATGCTATTTACAGATGCCTTAAAAAGAAGAAGTAAAGATATATAATAAAATATAAAACAACCATAGAAATATAATGTACAGTACCAAGATAAGTAAGTAAAATCATGTAAATATTATGCAGGTGACAATGTAGTGGTGTATGTCTCATCCAGTGAATGAGAAGTGACTATGTACTGTAATATGTTAAACGATAACATACGTTAATGTATGTATGTAAAAAAAAATACTGCACTCATGTAAAAATGGAATTAGCTTAAATAAAAATGAACAGAACTTCATAAACAAATTAACAGCAAAAAAAGATGATTAATCAAATGTAAAAAAAAATGGATCAGCAGTGATTTTGCAATGTTGTGGAAAGACTACACAAATCCATTTCTGCAGGTTTATTGTAGTTCAGGTTCAGTTCTTTCAGGTGAGAGGAGGGCTTTGATATTAGAAATGAAGCCAGAGCAACACAGCCTTCACCTATAACACTGCTAAGAAGAAGAAGAAAAAAAAACTTCTCGTATTTACAGATCGATACACACACACACACACACACACATACACACACACACACACACACACACACACACACACACACACACACACACACACACACACACATACACACACACACACACACACACACACACACACACACCACACACACACACACACACACACACACACACACAGAGACACACACACACACACACACACACACACACACAAACACACACACACACACACACCACACACTACACACAACACACCACACACACACACACAACACACCCACACACACACACACACACACACACACAACATCACACACACACACAAACACACACACCACCACACACACACACACGCCACACACACACACACACACACAACACTCACACACACACAAACCAACACCACACACACACAGAAAAAAAAAAGAAAGAAAAAAAAAATACACGATCACACACCTCACACACACACAGTCACACACACACACACACACACACACATGCACACACACCACACACACCACACACACACACACACACACACACACACACACACACACACACACACACACACACACACACACTCACACACACACAGTCACACACACACACACACACACACACACACAATCAACATAATCAGACAAAATGTTGAGAAAAAAACATTATATTAAAATAATCAGTCAAAGTTTCAAGAAATTAAGCCATTATTTGAACATACAGTTAAAATCTTGGGATTTTTTTTTCTGAGATAGAAAGTGAAACTTGCAACATAATGTTTCCAGAAACAGAGAGAAAAAAGGCAACATTTTCGTTTCTAGCTGGAGAATTTCAAATTAGGATTCCAAATTAACCTACTCTTATGCACTGTGGTTAGCCTTACTTCTGCTTAAATATTGCTGCAGAATTTTTTTTTAATTCAAGTGACATTTTTTATGGGACATTGATCAAATTAAAAATCACTTGGAAGTCAAATATGTATTTGAATTAGAGGGCTGCATTGCCACAGGAGCCAGGTATGTAGGTATCAAGGCGAGAGTTGGACAAATGTTTAGTTTACGGATGGGAGCAGGACAAGCAGTGCTGATTTTCTACGGGAGCAGGGCTGAAAAAATCATCCTGTGCATGCCTGTAGTTTGAAGAAAAAGTGGTGGGAGCACATGCTGCACTTGCTCCATTGCTCAGATGCCTATGGACACTACAACATACAACCATCAGTGTGAGTACATCCTTTAATCACTCACTAAACAAAAAAAAACAGTTTTCAGTTTGAACCTTAATTACCTTCATTAGTGCTGCATGTTTGTGTAGCTAGTACTTTACTGTAAGCATATTCAGGGCGTGTCAGAATATCAAAGCATGGAATCTCTTCTTGTCTCTGAGGTTTTTCACACACACACAACTTCATGTTCTCTCTTTGCATCTCTTTCTGTATTTCTCTCAATTATCTCTGTTATCTCTTTGATCTCTCTCTTTCTCTCTCTGTATGCCTTTCTGCTTTCCTTGCTCTCATGCTGTACTTCTGTCTCTCCCTGTCTTCCTCTCTGTCTCACTCCCTCTCCCTCTCT